CTTGTGGACTGGCAACGCCTTTCCTCCTCAGCAATGAAGGCCCTGCTGGCATTTTTTCCAAGAGTCTGGTGTCGTCACAGTTGAACACTTGCTGGAGACTAAACCCTTCGGCAATTTCTGCCACAAATTGATCGGCTCCGTTTTCATTTGCCCTCGCCCCTGCCCCGGGCCCACCGCACAGTGTGTGACTGTTCTCTTGGAATCCCAAGCAGCTATGGGGCTTTGAACACGTGGGGCGGCTCAGCACTCGCTCCCCCAAGTTTTCCATCCGGTCCCTGGGGAGGCTTTCAACCTTCTCACGTATCACTGTCTCAGACACGGTATCGACATCAGTTGTTTCTGAGTGATCCAAATGAACATTTCTTCTTTTTGTTAATCATTTTAGTGGGGGCTCAAACGGCTCTTATCACAATCCATCCATCCATTGTGTCAAGCACATGTGTACATGTTGCCATCATCATCAAATTAACTTTTCAACCTGTGGTAGTTACATACTTTGATGTCGACTTTGTAAGGACAGAAGTGGGGTCTAGCCTGTCAATCAGCTCACAGCCTGACCGGATGCCTTTTGTGGGTGAGGCCTTCTCATGAGGATTTTGGGAACTTCCTTTCTTCCTCCCTGGAAGTGGGCCAAACTCTGTGTTCCTGTCGAGGAGACCTTCGGAACCCTCTTTCACCATTCTGTTCGAGAGCCAAGCTGGGAGAGCTGGAGGAGCCACGTGGAAACTGCCAGTGCTGAGATGCTCCCACCATCATCGATCCACAAGACTTAGGTAGCACCCACTGGCCTGTGATCTCCCCCTGCATTCGGAATCATCACATGTGGCCGCGTGAGTCTGAAGAGGAAGTCATGAACTAGTATCAGGCTTATGGGCCAATATCAGACTTACAGACTAGATCTGGACTGGGCTGGGATGTTTTCTTAATGTACAATTACTCTCTGATTAAACACTCTCTTGCACATGAGTCTCTCTGGGTTTGTTTCGCTCATCAGCCCGACCTAACACATAACCTCTTCACTGATGTGGGTTGTTTCAGGGTTAATGATTTCAACCTTTCGCTACACTAGCCGCTTAAGTCACATTTTTTTAATGGTTGACATGGTCAACTTAGCCATGTTGTATTCTGCCACCAAATCAGACAAACAGCCACCTGATTCAAATTTTGCAATTTCTTTCTTTCTTTAATTCACCAGTGGTTCTTAGTTTTCCTCTTAAGCTTTACTGCTGGTATCACAAACTTTCTTTTGGAGCCGTGATTATGTTTTACAGAAATAAAGTGAAGAAAAAAACAAAACAATGATGAATGTTCTAACATGAGCACTATATGCTGTCTGAGAGAGAGTGGCACTTAGACTCAAGTCTTAAAAAGAGACAGGGCACACAAAGATCCAGGCACATCACCCAGATAGCGGAGAACACCAACAAAGAGGCTGAAATGGAGTCCAAGGGCTCACAATTGAGACTCAAAGACACGTAGGGTATTGGGGGG